TTACCTTGTCTATTATTGGGTTGATTTACTAATATTTTGTTAAGGGTTTTTGCATCAATTTTCATGAAGGATATTTGTGATTTTCTTTACTTGTATTTGTCAGGTGCTTATATCAGAGTTCATAAAACAAATTTGATAAAACAAATTGGGTGCCCATTCCCTACTTTAATAGTTTGTTTAATACTGGTATTATTTCTTCCTTACACATTTGATAGAATTCACCAACGAAACAATTTGGGTTTGACATTTTCTTTGTGGGAAGATTTTTTGATAACGCATTTAATTCATTATATTTTTCCTTTTCTTTTGTGTCACTTTTGGTAAGTAATGCCTTTAAAGGAGTTTGTGCATTTCATACAAATTATCAAATGTGTTGGCATAAAGTTGGTCATGTCTTCTATTTAACTTTAAGGTTTTTTTTTTTTTTTTTTCATAATCCCTACCCCCAATGTGGGACTTGAATTCACAGGCTTGAACTCACAACCCCAAGACTAAGAGTCCCACGCTTGTCTGACTGAGCCAGCCAGACGCCCCTATTTATCTTTTTAACGTTGGTGTGATCTGGTAAGACGACCCCCTTTGCGTTTCTATTCTTGATAGTTTTCTTTTTACATTTTTTTCTCTTGATAATTCTTGCTAAAAATTTATCAATTCTATTAATTTTTTTGAAGAACCAACTTCTGTCTTTGTTAACTTTTTGTTAACTTGTTTTCTAGTTCACTGTCTTATTTAATATTTAACTTAACATTTGTTTAGTTAGTATTTTTTTTTAGTTTGGTTTTAATTTGCTTTATTTTAAAATTTTAGCTTCTTAAATTGGAAGTTTCAATCACTGCTTTTGAATTTTTCTCCCGTTCTAACATAAGCATTGAAAACATCAGTTTCTTTCAAAGCTCTGCTTTATCCACATCCCCCAATTTTAATGTGTTTTCTTGTCCATTTGGGTTGTAATAAATGGCATGGTTTACAACCAATACACATTTATTTTTCACAGTTCCAGAGGCTGGGAAGGCCAAGATCATGCAAATTCGTATCCGGTGAAGGTTTCTTAGGTCATAGAAGGTCATTTTTTTTGCTGTGTCCTTACATGGTGGAAGGGGTAAGGTGTCTGTGGGGTATCTTTATAAGGGCACTAATTCCATTCACAAGGGTTCTGCTCTAATGATCCAGTCTCCTTCCAAAGGCCCCACTTCTGACCACCACCCTCTTGGGGGTTAGGATTTCAGTGTAAGAATTTTGAGGGGACATGGACTTCAGACTATAGGAGTACATTTTCATTAGCTTTCCATTTTTAAAAACTCTCTGGTTTCTTCCTTTGACCCATGGGTTATTTAGATGTATGCGGTTTCATTTCCAAATATTGGGGACTTTTCTAGATTTATTTTCTAATTTTATTTATGATCAGAGAACATACGCTTTAAGATTTCAACCTTTGCAATTTATTGTGACTTATATCATGATCCGGCATATGGTCTGTCTTGGTTAGCATTCTGTGAACGTAATGTGTTCTGCACCTGTTTATGATGGGTAATTAGATGATTGGTGTGACAGTGTTTAGATCTATATCCTTGTGTACGTTTGTCCTGTTTCGTCAGCTACTAAAAGACAGAGGACATTTGATGTTACTTGTTGCTTTTGCACTTGGAATTTTTAGTCTGCACTTTCTGTTAATTGCTACTGTATTGACCCTTCATCTAGAGACCAGGATACTCACTCATCAATTACAGTACTTTATTTGTAGACTATTTTGGATTATCTGCAAACACAATCACACCATCTGTGAATAATGAATTTTACTTTTTGAGTCTTTACCTTGTCTTTTTTACCTTCTTGCATCGGGGTAAGACCACTGTACACAGCTGAATGGAAGTTATGGAGGACACCCTCCTCTTCTTCCTGAATCCAGGTGAAAGCACTCACTCTTTTGCTTTTATTTGTTTTTAACAGATGTCTGAGTAAGGTATTCCTTTCTTTTTTATTTCTAGTTTTGTGAATTTAGTGTGTTGAGTTTTATGAAAAATTTTTTTCTGCACCATGTAAATGCTCACATGGTTTTTGTCCTATCATCTGAACTGTGGAAATATTTTTAAATTTTAAACCACCTTTCGTTCCTAGAGTAAACCACACTTGGTCATGATGTGTAATCATTTTCTCTCCCACTGGATTGTCTGTGCAGAGTCATGCGGCCTCCTAGAACCGGCTACAAGTATGACACTTTTCTTTCTTTTCTGGAACAATCTGTGTCACACCGGTATCGTTTTCTTCGTGGAAGGTCGGGAGCATTTACTAGCGAAGCCATCTGGGCCTGGAGTATCCTTTGTCAGGTTCTAAATTATAAAATCAATTCCCTTAACAAATATGGAGGCATGCGGCTTTCCCACTCTTTTGGGAAGAATTTGTCGTGTTTTTCTAGAAATTTTTCCAATTTATGTGATTCGTGAGAATTTTGACATGGTTTCGTATTGTCAGTTTATTTCGTTTAAAATTTTGCGCAACCTGTGTTGGTCCCTTTCTCTCTCGCGTTGAGGATCCGTCCTCCCGCTCCTGTCCCCCCAGGTCAGACGCACAGAAGCGCCCGCAGCCCCGCGCGCCCGCGAACACCCGCCGCCTCCCGGCCTCACGCACCTTCTCCGGAGCAGCCTCCAGCCCCGCACCCCGAGACTGAGACCCCAGCGGAGATGCAGTCCCGTGCTTCCCTCCGGCCGGCCAGGCGCCCGCCCCGCGGGCGGGTCGGCACGACCTTGACTCCCCGACGACAGGGCGGGCCCCGCGCCGACCCCGAGGCCGCCACACACTCGGGGCCCTGAGGTCCCCCAACCTCCGTTTCAGTCTCAGACTCGCCCCCGGTGACGTAGCTTCACCGTCTGTCCGTCCGTCCGTCCGGCGAGGGGACGCGGCGGATCCCCCCCGCGCATACCGGATTACTGCGGGAAAGCAGCCGAAACAGGGTCCCGCTCCAAAACCTGCCTCTTCCTCCACTCACGGTGGGTCTGTGCTCCCCAGGCCAGCACCGGTCCCGAGCCCCCCTCACCTCCCCACCCCCCAGGTCAGGCCCAGGCCCCCTCGCGACCCCACCTCCCGCCCGTCACAACACACCGGTCCGCGTTCCGCAAGCGCCGCGGCGGGAAGCGGAACTCGAGAAGTGCGCCTGCGCGGGGCCCTCGTCCCCGCCCAGAGCCTCCTCCCAGACCGGCCTGAGCGGTCGCGCCTGCGTGTGGCCGAAGGCGGTGGCTCCATTCTCCCGACGAGGGACGGGTACGGACTGCGCAGGCGTGGGGAGCAGAGCCCAGGGAGGGGCTCCGTCAGCGGCCGGCCTGCGCGCATTGCGCCTGCGCGAGCCGAGGGCGGCGGCTCGGGCTGCTGGCAGGCGCCGTCCGCCCCTCCGCTGTGGACGCAGAGCTCGGCGGAGAGAGGCGGCTGAGGTAGGTTTCCCGTGGGCAGCTCGGGCGGCTGGACCGCACCGAGGCAGGACGTGCCCAGTGAGTCCTTTCCGGGCGCGTGCGTCGGTGGGTCGACCGAAGCCGCAGCCCCCTCGAAGACCCCCAACCTTCCCGGCTGTGCGCGGGGCGCTCCCGCGGCTGACCGCAGGCTGGGCAACCGCAGGGCCACGCCCCTTCCTCCGAGCCACGCCCACCGCCCCGCTCCGCCCCCCCTTTCCTCGGGCCACGCCCTGCGGCGCCGCGCCCCTTTCCCCAGCCGCGCCTCCCCGAGCCGCGCCCACCTCCCTTCCGGCGGCGCGGGTCCGGGATCCGCGTCCCGCTGGTCCTCCCCGCGCGCGGTGCTCCTGCGCCGAACCCCCGCCCCCCTCGCCGCCCCCCCCACCGCACCCACTGCCGCTGGCCACTAGTCCTTGGCATCTCAGGGCCTCTGCCCCCACCGCCCGCTCGGCTGACCTGGCCCTGCCCGGTCCCCCAGGCCCTGCGGGGTCAGCCGGTCCAGCAGCCCCGCCCCGGCGGCCGTCCCTCCCGGGCCCCAGCCAGGCTTCGCCGGGGAGGAGGGCGCTCGTGCCGCGAGAAAACCAGCGCTGCGGGGTGTCGGACCGGCGCCGGCGGGTGCGCCGGAGCGCGGAGCCACGGTCCGGACGAGGACGTGCGGCCGCGCTGCGGTGGGGCCCCAGGCAGCGCTCGCTTCTGCGGTTAGGGTTAGGGAAGAGGCGAACCCGCAAGACCTGCCCCTCGCGTAGCGCCCCTCGCTGGCCTCGCAGCTCCGGTCCGAGCGGGGGCCCGCCTGCCCGGTGTTGCGCGGACGGAAGTCACGGAGGACGTCCCGAGTCTTGGCCGGCGACGCGCGCGAGTTAGACCCAGAGTTGTCGTGTGGGGAGAACCGTTCGTGCGGGGGCCCCGCGGTCGCTGCGAGACAGGAGGACGTGCAGCGAGGAGGCAGACCCTCTGCGAGGTGTGCGTCGTGGCTCCTGTTAGTGCAAGCACTTGGAAGTCCCCGTGGATGACCTTGAAAATAAAACAGCCGGTTTTTTACCAGCAAAACGGGTTTATTCGGAAGTGACAGGAATTGCAGTTTCACACGTGCAGAACTAAAGGCAGGTCTGGCTAAGGTAGGAGAGGAGGGTGGGAGGAGCTGCTTTGAGGGAAATCCGTTGGAGGAAAGTGAGTGTGGGGTGGTGACAGCGTCACAGTCTCCTGTTGGTCGGGCGGTGACACCGTAACAGTCTCCCGTTGGCTGGGCTCTGACACTGTGACAGTCTCCTGTTGCCCGGGCGGCGACACTGTAACAGTCTCCCATTGGCCGGGCATTGACACCGTGACAGCCTCCCACTGGCCAGGCTGTGACACTGTGATGGTCTCCTGCTGGCTGAGCTGTGACAGTCTCTCACTGGCTGGGCTGTAACACTGTGACGGTCTCCCATTGGCCAGACTGTGACGCTGCGACAGTCTCCCATTGGCCAGACTGTGACGCTGCGACAGTCTCCCATTGGCC